CCCCAAAACCCCAAAACCCCAAAACCCCAAAACCCCAAAACCCCAGCTAATATAATTTGATTGAAATATTAGTTTATAATGGGGTGCTGAAATTCAATACCAAAAGAGCTCTTAGACTCTGACGTTCCATTCTACGAGCTTAATATACACGCAAAGATTTGGAGTAGAGAGTCACATGGTCTATTTGATTACTACAACCAAAGTTTTAAAGAATTTTCTGCTGATAAATAATGGTAACTTTTTCCTTCATGGAGCTGATTCACAACTCTATTGCCTTCTACCAAGCGTGAAGCCAGATGATTCTAATTCTACTAATTTACTATCATTCGCTTATAAATAAAGGTCGATATTGGGTATATCACTGAAGAGATTTTACCACGAGGGAATCTTTAAAACAACCTTCTGACCAGCCATGGATCTCTCTCAAGCATATAAACCCAAAAAGCCATTCTTCACGATATGATCCAAAGTATGGCTACAGGCTGAAGCAAGGAGACATAATCAAATTCGGAAGAGTCAGATTCAGAATTAGCAGAATAAGCTCTGAGAAGAATTCTACTAAGGAAAATCGGTAAGTCTAAATTTTGCTAGAAATAATCTGCCACCATTTGTCCAAATCGACTATTAACCTTGTCTGGAATTTACAATCTGGGAATTAGCTCCTTTAGAGAGGTTCAGACTGAGAATAATCAAATTATAAAGTCAGATGAAAGTGACAATGATGATTCTATGTATTTTGAGAAGCAACTGAGAGAAGAAGAAATCAATAATATTAATCTATCAGGAGTTGAAATCGATAGCGGTGGCCATAACGACGTCCATTATGATAATAAATCTGAGAGCAGAAAAATTAGAGATACCTGCAGAGTGTGCCTTTCTCTAGAAGATGATCCAGATGATCCTCTTATCACCATATGCAAGTGATCTGGCACTATGGGGCTCATTCATCTCGAATGAATCAAGGGTTGGCTCGATAGTAAACTGCATAAATAAATTTGTTCCTCATACTTTCTCCTATAATTGGAAATAATCTGAGATGAGAGCTTTGTAAAGAAAGACTCAAGGGTAAGAAAATTTACTAAAGCTTAGATCGTTATTATATTCAAGGAAAACCAGTACATCTGTTGAATTACAAGCGGCCCCAGGAAGGAAAATATATTACACTTGAATCATTTACAAATACCCCTCACAAAACCATTCATGTTATTAACTTACAAGAAAACTTAGAAGGCTATTCAGAAGAAATGTCTTTTCTCATCGGCCGAGAAAACAATGTTAATATTAGAATTACAGATATTAGTGTCTCAAGAAACCATGCTCTCCTTACTTACAAGGATGGAGAATTTTATGTGCAAGATACACAGAGCAAGTTTGGCACATTGATCTTAATGCAATCTCCATTTCCAATACCATACACGGATCAATGGGATTTAACCCTTCAAATTGGAAAGAACTTGAGTAAGTTAGTAAATTAATTATTGTAGTAAATATCTCGCCGAAAATCCTGCCAAAAGGAATTTGAGAAAAGAGTAATTTCGCAGAAATACCTTTGCCAAACAACAAGATTTATGATGCATATTCAGCTCTATACCCAAAAGTGATGAACAAGAAGTTTGGGATACCCATAAATACCCCAAAACCAGTAGTAAAGCCAATAGTTGGCTTCCAGCTTAGATCTCAGCGTATAAAATCTCGGAATACTCCCCTTGTCAATAACTTGACTCCTTCAAATATGAATGAGGAGAAAAAGTATATTCAGAATATACATGATATCAGGAGTGAGTTGAGGAAATTTAATCATTCAAAGGACTCAACTGCTTTATTCCCCACTTATCGCGCTAATGATACTGAACATGTTATGACGATTGAGAGGAACCAAGATAACTCACCTCTAAGAGATGACAGAATAAGGACCACTCTGAGCCATGATACTCAAACTATTTCTACAAAGAAGATTTTACGGACTTCTTCCAAGGCTGATAGCACTAAGTCTCGGTATTAGGCTCTCGAGAACATATGAGTTCTAGCATACAAAATAAGCTGACATATAAGAAAGCATGGGAGGAAGAATCCAATGAAGAATCTAAGGGATGTGATGACTTTAACCAGGCTCAAAGATATTCAGAGAAATTCTTGCTTAAAAACCCTCAGCAGCCTCAAAGACCCCTGATGAAATTTCCAAGTGATGCTGTTCTTAACAAAATTGTAGAGAACTCCTCAAAGAACATTTTTATTTGTAACGAAGAGGATGAGAAAATAGAAGAAGAGAAAAATAAACAGCTTAATGATAAGCTGAGGCTTTCCGAAGTCCCATTACAAGAAGAAAGTAAAGATCAGATCATCTCTGGAGAAAATCTTGACCAAATAGTCTCATTTTCCTCAAGAAAACCACTAGCCAAAAAGATTGTTCCCAATTCAGAGTCTCCTTTACGAAAAAGTCGAACTAGAGAGTCCCTCAAAAAGAGGAAGGCTCTTCGAAAGAGGATCATCTTCACAAGCCAGGAAGGAAGTGAGAGGCTTGAATCTGATCAAAATCTCCTCCCTAAACCCAATCCTCATTCCTCAAATAACCAAGAAGACTATGAACAAGTCTCAGAGGCTAGCTCTTCACGGCCCTCTCACCTATCTAACCAGAGCAACGAATCTGACTTCACTCATGAAGACGTTGAGCACTTGCTAAAATAATTTTCAACAGTGGTAAACTTTATTGGGGTTTTGGGGTTTTGGGGTTTTGGGGTTTTGGGGTTTTGGGG